AACACCTATATACCAATTTCTCACATTTTCCAGTCCAGTTTTTCAAAAATTTCCGTCGAGCGGGGGGCGGTACGCCAACACTGCCAATGTGAGACGGGGAAATTTCTTGAATTATCACTAACTTCCTCACACTTTTTCCGGAATTTACCGACAATTTTCCTACTTTTGTCCAAAAATTTTGCTGTCGAGCAGGGTGGGGGGGGGCGGTGTATATAAGACACTGAAACAGGAAAAATCACGCGAAAAGTCAACAGCCGGGAGAATTTTTCCCCAACGCGGCAAATTTCTCTCAGAGCCGCTACGACTCTTTTCAAGAGAGAGCGGCTCTCTCCCAACGACCAAATATGAGACCCCTCTCCAGCGGAAAATTCGACCCCCCCCTATGTGTTTCACACAACGATGCAGTACCCTGAGTGGCTCTTGCTTTTCAATCTTTTCAAATCGACATTCATCAGTTTGCCACTTGAACCGAGAGAAGTGGAATTTGTGGCGCGTCCCAAAAGGAGCTGGTACCGAGTGGAACACCGATCGCTTTGTTCCGTCCGTAATATCAACTGCTATCGGAATAATATTGTCTGCGACATGTGGTCCTTCTGTAATTTTCTACAATTTTTTTCAACCAAATATTTACCAAGCTGTCCCCGCGCTTGAAGCTTCCCACAGAAAGAAGACATTGCTCGGGAATTCCTCATAATTTCTGGATAACGCCTATAGATCAATGAAAAAACGCGAATGAATTCTCACTTTTGCTTATAAGCGCATATAGGCTACAACAGTTGTCGTTCAGTGAGGTAAGGCGACTCAATTAGCTGCGCAGGAGCTTGTCATCGGGTTATGGGTTTGGACGCGGCCCGTTTTCTAGCCATCGTGGTGGCTTCGGGCGTTCGAGGAGTGGTGGGAGAGGAGCTGATAACGAGCCAAAGCCCACGTTCCACTAATATACCCCCGGTTGACTTCAGTGTTAAGGACTGCGAGTAAATGAAAGGCGTAGTCCAAAGAAACAATGCTATTAACAATTCCGCGCGAACTGACTTCTTCCCTTGCCTATGTCCTCACTGGGCTCATTAAAATCATCACTCAAATGAATGGAAAAAATAAATTTTGCTCTGAAATTTGAACTTCTGCGTCATTCAGATCCAGCTCGACTGGTGGTTCGGCCGGACTCGTCGACGGTTATTGCCGACACCAGGATCAGCTTCTTCTGTCGTGCTGACGGTAATCCACTGCCGAATGTTATATGGAAAATCAATGGAAAATCTCTTATCGACTCTAGGT